GTGGAGTACGGGAAGGCCCTGGACATCAGCTACCTGCAGTACCTCTGGGAGGCTCACACCAACATCCTCCACTGCATGAGGGACTGCCGTGTCTGGTCCGCCCTCTACGACGGAGAGTCTCCCAACCCAGAGACTTTTCTCCAGAACCTCTCGGAGGAAGGGAGTAGGAACTTAGCGTTTCCCGGGCTGACGCTCCAGCGCCCATTCACCATTAAGACAGGGTCTCAGCTGGCTCCGAGAAAGGAGAAGAACCAGACAGAGCTGGAGTGGGATGACAGCTTTGACACTGGAATCTCCTCAGAAGCTGACGGGAACTCCCCTGGGAATTATGAGACGATGGAGAGTTCAGGCCCCCCAGCGCCCATTGATCCTCCCAAACACATCAAAGAGATGAAGAAGAATGCCATCCTGCTCTTCAAAGGATCCTACATTGAGGAATCAGACTTCCAGGCTGTGTGCTGAGAAGGATTGTGAGGATGGCAGGAATTCACAGGAGGCCGAAGTGGCACCAGACGAGGCTCAGACTAAGGCTCACGGGGTCCCCGAGGCTCAGGCTAAGGCTCACGGGGTCCCTGTGAACAATGGCCCGCTTCCCAGTCCCCAGCCAGAACCAGGCTCAGGAGAGGAATGTACTAAGGACGGCGTAGAATTGTTTGAAACTGTGTCTAAGGAACCAGCACAAGAGAATGAACCTGGAGTAGTAATCCCAGAATCAAGCCCGGAGTCAATACCCCAAGACTCTGAAGGAGAGCACACCTCAAGTGGGGCTGAGATGAACCCAGAGAGCGAGGATTTCATCGCTCAGTATAACCAGATTATCAAAGAGCTGGATTCCGGCACAGAGGGCTTGACAGAACAGAATTGCCCCACCCCTGGTCCTTTGCTTGTCACAAAGGACGGAGAAGGGAAGGAAGAAGAGAGCCAAGAAGAAGAGATGGAGGAAGATGAGGAGAGGAAGGAACTCGAGGAGGACGAGGAGGAATTTGACTCTTTCATGGCACAGGCTCCTGCTGCAGAGACCGAGCCGTCCCCGTTTGGAATGAGAGACGAGGCCGCCTTTGCCAGTCAGCGCCAAGTGAGGACCCCCAGCACCCCGTTCACAGGCCCCTTCATCAGCGTGGTCCTATCAAAGCTGGAGAACATGCTGGAGAACTCTTTGCATGTTAATTTGCTGCATATTGGGATCATCACTCAGCTGGCCAGCTACCCCCAGCCGCTCCTGCGCTCATTCCTGCTCAACACCAACATGGTCTTCCAGCCCAGTGTGCGCTCTCTCTATCAGGTCCTTGCATCTGTGAAAAACAAAATTGAACAGTTTGCTTCTGTGGAGAGAGATTTCCCAGGACTCCTCATTCAAGCCCAGCAATACTTGCTCTTCCGAGTGGATATGTGTGACATGGCTCCTGAGTCATTAACCAAAGATCCCATTCCAGATGCTGCCTGGACAGAAACGGGCAGGAGCCTTTTGGATGGTCCCCCAAGAGTGCTTCAACCCTTCCTGACCAACAGAGTCAAGGTGTCCGGAGCACCCCCAAACCTGCCCCTGCCGGTGAGGAACACCATGCTGGCCGCTGCCCTGTTCCCGGAGTTCCTGAAGGAGCTGGCTGCCTTGGCCCAGGAACACTCTATTCTGTGTTACAAGATCCTGGGTGACTTTGAGGACTCCTGTTGTTAGCTTTTTGGTGTTTTATTTTTTAAAAAAATAGTGGTTATTGTTTTATATAAAAAAAAAAAGAATGTTAGGGCAGATACCAACAAGATAAGGAAGTTAGAAATTCATGTTAAAGTGAAGCAGAACCAGATGAAACCCATGCTAAGCGCTGGTAGAGGACAAACATTAAGCAAATATCCTGAAAGCAACCTGATTAGTATTTTGGCATATAGACTTGACACAGGACCAGTGACATCAAGAACAATGGGCTGGTATAAGGAACACAGCAAATTTTTAACTTCCCGTGTCATTATCACATTGGCCCAGATGCAGTCTCTGAACTGAGCCAAAATGAGGAAGCGAGACAGCTTTCAAATGCCCATAAAGTCATTTGACTGTGTGGAATATAACAATTAAGGGTAATATTAAGAAGAATAAGAATCCTAGAACACTTTATTGTCCTCATATGAAACCTAGACCAAGACATTGTTGTCTGAACAGAATACTGCATGTTTTAAAATCAATAAAAGATGTGCATTTGGGCTATAACCTTTATTCATATCCATTCAATCTATATGTAGAGCAAATAATTTGAGAAGCTAGACTTTATGAAGAAGAATCAATATCAGAGGAAGAAACTACATAACATGGGAGAATCTAGAGAGTATTATGCTGAGTGAACTAACTTAGTCTCATAAGGACAAATACTGCATAAGACTATTATTGTAAAAATAGAAGAATAACTCATAAGATGTGTATAAATGTCTAAAAGGGGAATGAGAAGGGAGTGGAAGATGGGGAAAGGGGGAAATCACTAGGACAGCAGAGTTTAGTGGGGCAGATTTGAGATGTGAGTGTGTGTGAAAGAATAGGAAAGATCCAATGGAGACTTGAAAAGATGTGTTAATAATAGGTATAGATCAATGATGTTGTTGTAGTTTGCCTTCATGTTGAGCACAACTCATTGTTACCCTACGAACAAAAGGCCTGAAGCCCCTCTACAATTATTGACATTTATCAAAGTTCATAGAGTTTCCAGGGGCATGTTGTTTAGAAAGTGGATGCCACTCCTTCTTCCAATAGATCAATAGTAATTAATTTTTAAAAACATAATGGATACGTATGAAACACATTGTGAAGGATAGATTTTTGTGTGCAACACAATGTACATGAATGAAACACAATGCATATGAATTTTGTGTGCAAACCAATGTTGTTGTTCTTGTTGTTAAGTACCGTCGAGGTGTAGGCGACTCATAGCAACCCTATGAACAAAAGTCCTCTGCACTTTCTTCAGGTTCATAGGGTTTCCAGAGGCAAAGCTATACAGAAGTGGATGCCACTCCTGCTTCCAAGTTTATTTTAATTGGGGAGCTCCACCGAACACTGTCTGTCATGGGTAAGCATTA